TATTCTTCGACTACACAAGAGATTAAGGTGTCTAAAACGATATGATAATATCCCATCTTGTATTAAAAGCATTTAATTTTTATCCTGACAGACGGCAGTATCTGCGTATACGATTCGCTCCGCCCACATATCCAATAAAATCTCTGTGTCTCCCTCAAACCGGACACTTCGCTTCTATTCTATTGAGATCTGCAAATAAAAATATTATTTTTATACCATCCACCAAACATAGTATGGAGGGTATATTAAGTTCGTCAAAATATTAATTTTATACCCAACAAAGAATATATTCTTGATCAGCGTAAAATTCTGAGACGATTTAGCCCTTTCCGTCTGTCCCTCTGTTGTTATCACGCTACAGTCAAAACGAATTAAGATAGGAAGCTAAAATTTTGCACAAATCTGTCTTTTGTCTGCAGGCAGGTCAAGATCGAAGATGGGCTATATCGGTCCACGATAACGTATTTCCCCAATATAACGGTACCCCCGATATTCGGTATTTTGATGACTTTAGCCACCATTTTCAACGGAATAGTATGGAAATTTACAAAAGGAGTTCTTTATGAGTACTTTACCCTCCGACAGAGAATTGTTACATAGGTCCACGATACCTCCCGTATAACGTTAACTCCCGATTTTTGGTATTTTGATGATTTTAGCCACATTTTTCCATCGAATTGTCTGAAAATCCACAAAAGGAGCTCCTTGTTAGTACTTTATCTCCTGGAGGAGAAAAATGTACAACGGTACCCCCCGATATTCGATATTTTGATGATTTTAGCCACATTTTTCAATCGAATTGTCTGAAAATCCCCACAAGGAGTTCCTTGTGTGTGCTTTACACACTGAAAGAGAATTGTCTATATAGGTTCACAATATCGTATATAACGGTACCCCCGATATTCGGTATTTTGATGATTTTAGCCACCTTTTTCAAAGGAATTATATGGAAATTCACAAAAGGAGTTCTTTATGAGTACTTTACCCTACGACAGAGAATTGTTATATAGGTCCACGATACCTCCCGTATAACGTTACCTCCCGATTTTTGGTATTTTGATGATTTTAGCCACATTTTTCCATCGAATTGTCTGAAAATCCACAAAAGGAGCTCCTTGTTAGTACTTTATCTCCTGGAAGAGAAAAATTTATATAGGTCCACGATATCGTATACCCCCAATACAACGGTACCCCCCGATATTCGATATTTTCATGATTTTAGCCACATTTTTCAATCGAATTGTCTGAAAATTCCCACATTTATTTATTTATTTATTTTTTTTTTTTTGTATTGGTCCAATCAATTGCGATTTAGTATGTAAACGAATTTTAAACAATAAATCCTGATAATGTAAGTTAATCCGTAAAAAGTTTTGTATCTAAACCCGTTTAGTTTTGTATCTAACTGTTTATGCGCCGAAATTGCGTTCCGATAAAAAAAAATTGCGTTCCGATAATCAAATGAGTACAGGGATTATTTGTTGATATTCTAATAAATACACGAATGTGTAATGACAGACAAATAAAGGTATTGACTAAACAGTTTTAAAATGTTCCCTTCCGGCAGATGTCACTATTGTTGACCTTGGGTCAGTCATGTCACTCAGGGCTAGAGAAGTCACTCGACTTCGAAAACTATTTATTCATTTTTCTGCTATTTAAGTTCTATATTTTTATATTTCACGACATATTTGGATAATGTAAAAGTAAACAAAGTTGATGTTTTGTTTTTTATTGATAAACTAGCTGGCCCGGTCCGCGTTGCCGGCCCGTAATTTTAGTCTTTAATGCTATTATATCATCCACCTTGGAAAGGAGGGTATATTAACTTTTCATTCCATTTGTAACATCACTAAATGTTCGTCATAGACCCCATTAAATATGCATATATATTCATAATCAGCATAAAACTCTAAGTCGATTTGTCCGTCTGTATGTCTGTTTGTTTAAATTACGATACAGCCCACATTATTTGACGTATAGCGTCAAAATTTAGCTGGAAATGTGTATTGTGTATAGGATGGTTGGTATTGAAAATGATCTATCGGTTCACGTTTTGGTATAGTCCCCATATAACGGTATCTCTCGAAATTCGGTATTTTGATGATTTTTGCCAAATTTCTCCTCGGATTTGTCTAACACATATAACGATACCTACCTATATCGGGTATGTTGATAATCCACACATTTACGCTTATAATTGTTTCAAATTTGGTATTTTAGAAGGTTTGATAGATGACAATCCTTGAAGTATAATATTGTCTACAGAGGTTCCCGTTTTGGTATGACCCCATATAACGGCCTCATTCACTTTATGTTTTTTGATAAGTTAACTGCATTATCCATACAGTCTTGCTGGTATATGAAGTTTAAAGTGAAACACGCTTGAATTTTGATACTTTTATATAAAAATGTTTCCTTTACCCTCAGATGGATGATAGTAATAATTCTGCCCGGCCGAACTTAATTTTTTTTACTTGTTTTAAAGTAATATGAATTATTTGTCATTGAAATTGCGCGTTGGAGACCCCATAATTTCCATATCTTGTATCATAGTATAATTCAACGACGATTAAACAAATGTCCGGTTCCTTAAATCATATGATAGTTATACGAAACGTGATCAGTTTTTGCATGGAAGGTTTCTTCCCAAATTACCAACATCTGCCGAAATTAGTATGAAAATATGGTTAAAATGTAAGATATACTTGAAATCGGGTTGTATCCTTATCCGGGGGTTATGGCCCATATCATGAAGTGCAAAAGGTTGCAGTCCCAATGAATTTTGCATATCATTGGACGGATTATTGTCATGTGATAGAAGTAGGAAGGTCCACGTGTTGAAATGAGCCCCATAACGTTTTGTCGGTCATTTTTGTTTATTTAAATGTGTTCGCATCTTCCAGCTGAAGCACGATGTAGATCCTGGAGTTGAAAGCTAAATTCCAATTTCAGACATGAAAGATCGCCATTTAACATCGTATTGCGTACTATTTCATTTTTGATATTATTCATTCAGAATTCAAAACAATAAAAAATGTACACTTCTCCAAAAGGATTTTTTCTTTATATTTTTATTGGCATATTTTACGCATTTTTTTTGCAAGATTCCATTCCGAAGTTGTATGAATTGTGAAAATCCGTCAAAACGTCCTTGAGTTATAAGCATAGTAACTAATAAACAAATTGAAAAAAAATCTTCAACTTGTTCGCTGGTTTTTTACAGCCAATATTTAAAGGTCCTTACGAAGTTTGGTCCTTACTATTATTTTGAAATTTGATTCCATTAAAAAAATGTTCTCAGTTTTTCCCTATTTTAGAGTTTTTGCAGTGCAATATGCTCTTTTTTGATTTTTTAGCAATTTTGATTTGACCACTATAAATTATTTTGACATCATCTATTCAGTTCCGCCACTCCATAATTTTCGTCACTTTCTACTACCCAAAAAGACTACACATCATATTAGAATTAAAAAAAAAAAAACACTACAAATTTACATTCCGAAATAGTAAGTCAAAATGGAAAAAAAAATCATGCAAAATAAAACATTACTATTGTACACTTCAAAAGTCAAAATGAAAATTTTAAAATTTCACATTTTTACACGATTTTTTTGGATTTTATCCTTTTCTGCCAAGAGACAATTCCGAATTTGTGTAAATCGTTAAAATCAGATCAGCGGTTCTTGAGTTATAAGCGTAGTAACTAACACAACTTCCTTATAAATATAGATAGATTAGAAGTATGCGTGGTCAGTTCCATGGCGCCCAAATAAATTCCTGAGTTTGGAGGGAAAGTCAACAGTATCGCGTGTAATAATTTTCAAACCGATATCTTCATTATCTGGCAAATATAAAGATTTTAGATAAATCAAGTTAGTGGGCGCAAAAGTAGGCGTGGTCAATATTTTTTTCTTAAAAACCCAACTCGGGGTATGACGAACGTTTGTACAAAAAATTATGCAAATCGGTCCAGCCGTTTTCAACTGATTCCGTTACCAACAAACAAGAATTGATTTTTATATATATAGATAATAAAGATTCATAAAAATATTTAATATTTTGCATTTTGAGAGAATTGAGTGAGTCTACTGAACCTCTTTCACAACATGAACGACAACTATTGAAGCACTTTTTTCAGAAATAACAGATGAAACAACTTTTTAGTCTATACCTAATTTGTCTATGGCACAACACCAAAATCGAGGAATTCGTTGAAATTTGACATTGACATATCAATGTTGCAATAACAAGTAGTAAACAGATTTCAATGAATGTTCTATACGATGAGTGGTCCAGTAGTCCCTTTCAATTAAATGGAGGCAATCCTTACTAAAACATTAACTCTCACAGCACATAATTATATAAGATCAAATGGAATAGGAGGTATATACTCACAGCAAATGCCATCTCGATTTGTATTTCTGGTGCAAACAAGCATTTCCTCTACTCATATATCTCAAAAATTTTATTATTTGTATATTGCGACTCTCCTGAGCTCCGATATTTTCTTAGACGATTAAGAATATTCTTCCTTAATTGGAACGAATCACCCATTTTATATTTTGAATATAACTGTCGTAAATAAACTTAAGCTTTTGTCCCAAAGTACGAAAAGCTAATATTTAAAATGTGACACTGTGCTTTAAACCTAAAGCTTGCATTTCAAGTTTCTGCGATGAGTGTACGTAATATCCCGCCATATGTTTGGCACTAAGTCAAAAACGATTTTAGCCAACAAGCGCAAAGAAAACATGTGTTAACTGAAAGTTGTTGTCGGCCGGTTGCTTTGGGAGTAAACAAAAGTGGGGTAGAGTTTTGAGTACAACGTAGTAAGTTTAATTTTTGGAGTACATTCATGAATTATTATACCATTCAGAGAACAAACGTGCCAGAGAGCGGGAGAAAAGCCGAACAATGAGAGCAATAACCACCACAATAGACAACAGTTCAAGTTCTATGTTATATATTTTTGCATGAATATTTTCTTTCCATGCTCACCGGGAGGAATCTCTGCCGCACAACAATCCAGTTAGAATCGGCAGTTGTTCAGTTGTTTTTAAGCGGTCGTCTGGTGTAGTTGTGGAAAACGGTTAAAACCGGAGATTCGCAAGTGTGGTGTGCAAAACAAACAAAATCCAACAAACCATATAACCGGTCAAATTTTCCCTAAAACAGGAAGAAAAACATTTCGTGTGTTTTTTTTTTTATAACATGGTATCTGGTCTGTAGGTGGTTCATTCATACCCTGGGTCCATTGCATGCATTTGTAATCTAATCAAAAAAATTAACAACAGCAAAACAAATTGAAAAAATAAATTATTCCAAATGAAATGAAATCGGAAATTATGTGCAGAATATTTTGTATTATTTAATCGAATCAATTGTCGATGTGAAAATAACGGCACTTCGTGCGTGTGTGGTTTTGTGTGTTCAGAATTTTAAATGTCAGCAGAAAGCGAGTTTAAAAGGTGGGTGTGTTTAAAATATGTTATTGCAATTTTTTGAGGTGTTTAAATAAAACCTTTAAATTATTAGTTTCTTTTCCCTTCGAATCTCGGGTATGGAGAAAAGGAAAGAAAACGAAACAAAATTCCGGAAGTGCAGATGAAAAACTACCAAAAAAAGAAAAAATAATAATAATAGACAGCAACGCACACAATCATCCCTTTCATCGCTCCGGCTGCGTGCCTGTGTATCCTTGCGGTCGGGTGTGTTTGTGTGTGTGTATATGGGACTGAACGAGTGCATTAATGTCAGTTTGAAAGTTCTTTTAAATGTGAGTGAGGAGATTTAACTATCCTGTGATTGGGGAAATAGAGTTGCCACAAGTGAAATAATGTGGTATGCGCTGTCATATCTCTATTGTAAAGAAAATTCAAAAGTATTTTACTGGTCTTTTGAAAGGAACAAAATTAAAGTTATAATCTCAAAGAAAACGTTGTAAGAGTGCAATATTCTGTGAAGTGTCGGAAGTATGTTGTTGATTAGCAAAGTCTATAATTATGGAAAGAAAGAGGAGACACTATAAAGTTTATATAGTCATGAGCAGCAACTAGTATGAATTTTTAAAAGAGTACGACAAATGTCTCAAGACCAACATGTCTACGGAAATCCTTTGATGGCCTCACTTACACTTTTAAAGGTCACTCTAAAGAGAAAATTATCTGGGACCAATGTGGAGAAATAGTCAATGATAAAACTTTGTGGTGTGTTTTTTTCGGGGGGAGCATGGTAAATGCTTTTAGGCCACTGATTTTGATAAGGCAAACCCCTCGAGAAGTGTGTAACATGGTTTTCTTCTTTCAAACAAGTCCCGTTGTCTTAATATCGGCTTTGTTTTGTTTCGTACTTCGAGAAAATACAGAACGAAACGATTGCAAACGTTTGATATAGTTTATTTTCGTACGCTGTGTAAAACAGATGTTTTATTGATTTAAATACTAAATTACAATCTTCTAGTGTTCACATACGATAAGATGAATATGGAATATAGGATGGCGAATAGACTTCGGAGATGCTCGGGAATTCTAATTAGAGTTTTTAATAGATAATCGGGAATTCGACGTTTACGATGTCTTCTAGGCAAGAAGATTAACGACTCGAGGACAGTCGGGAATTATGACTTATCGATTTTGGGTTGTTCACGATTAGTATTCCGGGTACTAGGTACTCAAAGGTACTCGTAGTTGCGTCGGCTTTCGGGATGTTGCCGATTTAGAAGGGGTCGGGAGCTTCATCAAATGGTCATCGGGCTGACGCCATGAACAATCAGGGTTTACGATGTAGGTGGCTGGGATGTTGATGTCCTGGTTTTCGGCGACGGTTTGGGGACGGTAGCTCACTATAGAGATACTCGGAAGCAGCTGTCCAGGTCTTATAAGATGGATCGAGATTCGTTCGGTTCGGCAACTTACTGTGGATACTCTCGAGGCAGCTGTCAAGGTATTCTAAGATGGATTGTGGATAAGATTGGAAACCGATGTATAAGCCTTCGCAGGTAGATGAGGGTTCGGCAGCTCGCTAAAGCTACGTTCGGCAGTCGATATCTAGACCTTTGAAAATGGATCGGAACTCGTTCGGGTTCGGCAGCTTACTATGTGTATATTCGGGTTTAGCTATATGAGTCGTCTAAGATGGCTAAGGCACAATTCTATCTAGCACTACAGTCTATGACTACCTTTAATCCACTATCTATGTTTAAGCTTTGATATGGAACAGCTAACCTAAACTCTTGTGGAACAGTGAGCTGGAGCTTCTACGGAACCAAAGCTCCTGAGGAACAACGAGCCAAAGCCCATGTGTAAATGAATTGCCGGCACTTAACTTAATGAGAGTCAGTTCTGGAAAAGGTATTCCCAGCAACGATTTTGTTAGTCAGAATAGGAAATGATTCAGAAAATCACTAACAATCCCTTGTCAAGCCCCCTTCAATATCAAGTCTCTCTCATCGTAACCCAAACCGAACACTATATGTGATAGTCATTACTATATTAATGAGAATTATTTACCTTATGCGGTAAAATGCATATTGCAGAAAACTGAATTGTCCATTACGCGACCAACGAATACTGGGGTGGTTTATAGTCGTTATATGGCCGTTGTTGTTGTTACTGTTAATACAATGGGTGCGGTTGTTCAGTCGATCCTCCACGGAGAAATCGGTTTGGGCCCACTATAAGGAAATGGTGAAACATGTAACTTTGTGGTGCCCATTTTTGGAAAGAGCACTGAAAATGCCTTCTAGAGCTCTTATTTTGACAAAGCAAACTCATCGGAGAATCCTACAGTTGCCACACATAAAGTTTATACGGTCACTGCAAAAATGATAAAATTTGAGTGAGTCTACTGAACCTCTTTCACAACATGAACTACATCTATTGAAGCACTTTTTTCAGAGATAACAGATGAGACAACTTTTTTGTCTAATTTGTCTATGGTATAACCATCACCCTTCCCTGGGGACGAGTCTTAAATATAACATACGAAACATACAATAGGTCGGCATATTTGCAATTAATTTATATGGCAACACTGGCGACTGTTTGTTTTGGGTGTTGCTTAACCGTTATTTAAAATGAAAATAAAAACTTCAAACAATCAAATTGTCTTTCTTTTGCTCGCTCTCGTCCTCTCTTTTTTCGTTTGTCTTTACTCTTCTTTCAAATGTTAATCTCTTGAAAGGACACTCACAGTGACATAACTCTAGAGAAGTTATATTTGCAAGCTATACGAATGCAGTTCACTTCAACTCTCGTTGTTCTTTTAATCAGTCCCAATGCTCTCACACACATAGAGCTCTTATGGAAATGCGAGAGAGCATCTAAATGCGAAGTCAAGAGTATATTTTTTTTTCTTCTTGACATTAACATACAAACAACTAACGGCAGTTACAGTAACAGACAGCGGTGATAGTAACAGCGACGACGGCGACAGCCGGCAGCAATTACAGGAATAGGAAGAATCAAAGCAAAAAAAAACAAAAATGTTGAAATGAAAACAAAAACGCAGTAACGAAAAAAAGAGAACAGTAAATAATAACACAAGAGTATGGACAACCAGGTTGACGACCCAGGCTGAAAAAACAGTAATTGCATTATGATTGTAATAATATGTATTTGTGGGGTGTGGGTTGTTGCCCACAACCACCCACCCCTACTTAGCTTTCCTGTAATGGATTTCGTTAACTGATTTCTGAATGTTTGTTTACTCACTCACTAGCATTGTGGCCGATGATAACAAAGTGTTTGTTAATGATTTTATGTACGTTCCGTCATACAGGGTTCGGGGTATTTCGTTCATCGTTGTTTTGTGGTAAACATTTTACCCTATAACTCAAAAATTTCATGAAAGATGTGAAATTTATTAATGGTGGTCAGGATGATCACTTGTGTTGAGAAAATCCAAAAAAGCGGCCAGCAGACATACCGTTGGGCGCCCAATTTTAAGGTAAATTTGACGTTCTGCTATAATAATATATATTAATAAAATAATTGAACGATTGACTGGCTGATTCACTCAAGCCCAGACAAACCGGCTGAACCTTGAAAATTCCAATTTTGGGTGTAGGCCAACCTTGGGGCGGAGGGCACGAAAAATACGTAAAGTTATAAAATGTGGAAATCTTTGTATTCGACTAACGGATAGATCTAGAATTCTTAAATTTGGAATAAGGTGGAGTGTACGTACGAAAAGTAAAAAAAGCTATTAACTTGGTATGGATATGTATGTTTTTGATGGATAGAGCTAAAATCTTGAAAATTGATATAAGATGTGGGTGTTTTTTGAAGGACAGCGAAAATCTTGAAATTTGATATAAGATGTAGGATTGCGTATTTAAGTGTAGTAATATTACCAAATGATACTGAAATTGGTGGAATGTTGAATTTTAGTCTAGGGGCCATTGTTGGTGTGTACAGCTGATATAAAGAGTTCGGTTTGGAAATGCGTACAATAAGTGTACAGTGTACGAATAGAATCGGAATTGCTAATATTGGTAAAGCGGTTGCTATAAGTGTGCTGCGTTTATATATGGAGGTAAATTTGAAAATTCATACTCTATAGGGTACGGCGTGGTAGAAAGCAAGGGTAGTATTTATACTCAAACCCGGCAAGGCCTATCTAAGGCTTACCGATCAATAAACCTCACATCTTTCTTGATCAAAAACATGGAATGGATAGTTGATACCACGATTAAGAACAAAATTCCAAACGAATCATTAAAATTCAAACAACTTGCATATGTTAAAGGGATATCAGTGGAAATCGCTCTACACGAGATTGTACAATATATGAAAAAGCTGCTTGCTACTCGAATTTCTTATTTGGGGCAAAGGAAATCTGTTCTTTTAAGGAGCTTAACCAAGGAGGTATTTGAAACTATATGTTACGCAAACGATGTTATATTACTTTTGAGGGGGACAACAAACTTGCTGAGCAAAAGGGCCGGATTGGTCCTAAAGACAGTTTAAAACTGGACCAGGCCAAAACGATTTAATGAAAATCCGGAAAAAATTAATAAGATAATTGGTATCTTCAATCAAGTCAAATATGTAGAAGTAATCCTGAATAAAAAAAAAACATATTAATGAAAGAAAAAACAATCCTCACAGATACCGGTCAATCTTTAGAAAGAAAATAGGTTCAAGATGGTACTATGGTCGCTCTCCGCTCGTATTAATCGACCGTGGCATCAGAATAAATGCCGAATATTATCAAGATAATATTCTGGAGGGTGTATCAAAGCCTTGGGCACGCAAACATTATGGCCGCAGACCTTAGACATTCCAACGGGACTCAGCACGCACCACCCAAGAATTGTTACAAAATGAGGTTCCTCACAATGGCCACCAAAATCTACGGATACCAATCCGTTGGATTATTGTGCCTGAATATTTTGGAAAGCAAGGTTGGAACTAAAAATTTCCGAAGTGTCGATCACCTCAAGAAAGCGCTTCGCCGGGAATGAGCC